AAACATATAATTACAGCCCAAAAGGATGGCAGAGTGGACCTTTACATCACTTATACCCCATGCCCAGACATATCAACTTGGACAGCTCCACATGCATAACTCCATACAGATATCATGGGACATATTACAACATCTGAGTGTCATACAGAGAAAAGAAAAAGTCCACTGAAGAAGGTAGTGTGGTAGGGCGGCTCTTTCAACTTACCTCTATCATCTTACTCCCTCCCATACCAGCAGCATAGAGTTGGGATGAGTATTTTTTTTGTATGAAGAGAGGAAAATGTGTAATATACCTTGTTTGGATCACTAAATCAGTGAATGCCGTAGCAAAACCTGTAACCTGGTAAAACGTAAGGCCTCAGACTCCATACAACTGTCACAATGAGCTTCTCCAAGCATGATATGCAATATGGCAGATTCTGTTTACCCAGGATGTATACGTACCCAACAGATAGGGACACTAGACCTGTGCCAGGACGAGGTCAGTCTCACAGACTGAATCCAGATTAAACTCTTAATATGCCAAAGCGTTCACTTAGACTAAATACTGAAGCACTCCTCAGAGTGTGGATGAGGGCACTGCCCTCAAGCCAAGACTCCAGACCACCATCACCACTAACCTGGTCCTTGTTTTAGGCTTGCGAATGTGCTGGCTCAGGGCCCCACCAGAAAGCCCCAAACCTGCACCTGCAGATGCAGGGTGACCTTCCTAGTCCCACTTCCATGCTAGCCCCTGTGCCACACACTCTTGCAGACCCAGTGTTCAGACCTAATTCATCAGATCCTAATTCTGGATTCATGCTTGCCACATAGGATTAAGGGCCATTTGGGAGAAAGATGTGGTTAAAACCAAAAATGTCTTGCAACTAAAGGATATGAATTGAGAAGTAGGACTGCTCAGATTTGGAATAGTATATCTAATTAAAAAAAAAAACTTTTGTCTATGCCAAATCAAAGTAAAACTTAGCTTCCATTTCTCTGACTCGAGGCTTCCTTGATTCATCCTTATTTATCACAACACAAGCCTTACTGTCTTTTCAGATTTTGTGTCAACATATAATACATAGTAAAATGCTTAGTAATATTGAGTGAAGGCCAAACTCTGGTTTGTGTGCAGACTCCGTGTAATATAAATGATTGGAGGCATTGGAAGAACTTTTGTCATTGTTGTTTTTTATTCTTTTTAAATGTTTCAGTATATATTTTATTGATTTTTTGTGTATTTCATATAATATATCTTAATAATATTTAGATAGCCTCCCCTATGTGCACCCCACACAACCCCCCCTTTGATGTCATGCCTTCTGTCACATATGTTAAGGCCTATCAAACAATTCTATCCCCGGATGGGCCTTGGTGTGATTTCATCCAGTGGAGTCTTGTCAGCCTATCTATAGTCATTCCCTTAACGAAGACAAACCATTTTTAAGGACCCCTGGGGGCAATGAAAAAATTTAAAACTGCACATTATCCACATTTTGTTTTGGGAGTTACAAGTCCTTACCAGTCCACAGAAAATATAAAGATTGTTTAGGAGTCATTTCTTCCACACAATCTGCCTTATGATACTTGGAACTTAACGGAATCAATACCTATATTTTCCAACTGTAAATTCACAAAGAGCATACAGAGTAGGATAGAAAACAGAAGAGTTTTCCCTATAAATGACAATAATGGTTGTATTTAATATGTTGTAAAATTCAAGAGAGAATGATTTCTCTCTGGAAGGAAAGCAGGGAAGGTCTATAT